TCTAGTGACCACAATCCCTTTCTTCTACAGGACTGCGATCATCATCCTCCATTATGGACAATGGCAATGATCGCAACATGTCATCATCAATTCGGAGAGTCATTTTTTTCCATTTGATCTCAACCTGGTGATGTTTGTGGCGACGAGCAAGATCCTGAAGCCACATTTTGTGCCATTAATTAATATGGATCTCCATAGTGGTTACAATCAGTGGGTGAAAAAGAACCTCAAGGAAGAGCATGAAACTCTTTTTTATAAAGTTAAATCGTATGGGTTCAATTAGATGCGTAATAACTTTTGGGAAAGATTTGCAACGTTTTTGCTGGTTTGGAGCAAACTGTGGGCGAAGATAGAGAAGAAGGATGTTTGGTTTGCAGAACAAGGGGTGTTTGGTTGTGTGATTTGAGACTTGAAATTGGACAGGTGTCTTTGATTTATTGGAGTCAGTAAATTTTAGGTACTGAACAGTCAGTACCCAAGTATTACCCTATTATATATTATGCTGAAAATATGATTTTAGCCCTACCAACTCAATTTTCTTCATATAAACCCCTACATAACTTTTTTACTCAAAGAAAACCCAATGACTAGGATCCACATAAGCAAATTCATTAATTTCATATTACTTCACACATTTTACATTTTTCACATGCCTAAAATACCCCTATTACATATTTGATGTAGACAATTAATTGTAAGGAGAGAGTAAATGATTTTGCAACAAGAAAAAAAAAGACATTAATGTTAAAAATTTATTGCTTTGAATTTTCATAAAACTATTTGATTTAGTTTTTTTCACCCTACTCTTGAATACTTTTGAATTTACCCTTTTTTTATTAATATATTAGAACATTGTATTTCATTATCTACATGCACATTAATTTACCTACAACAATTATACCATGGGTGTAATATAATATCTCTTTTTTACAATGATGCAAAATAATGTTTATACCAACAACAAAACGTGCCTAACATATGTACTAATACATGGAATATAATTTACCTATCTTAAGAAGAAATGTAGTTCGATGCATACTATTAAAAATACTATGTTACATTCATGTTTATACAACAATAAAACGTGCCTAACATATCTAACAATACATGAAAAATAATTTACCTACAAGTTAGATAAATGTTATTTGGTTGGGTGTAGTATAAATGTTTTTAATGATTGAAAAAATTAAATATAACTAGGTGTAGTGTAATTTTTTTTATATAATTAGAACAAATTAATTTACCTACCTACTATTTGAAATGTTCATTTCTAATGATGCAAAATGTTCATTACCTAACTACAAATTAATTTCCAATAATTTACATACAACAATTATACCATGGGTGTAATGTAATATTTTTATTTACAATGATACAAAATATTGTATGTACCAACAACAAAACGTGTCTAACATAAGTACTTGTACATGGAAAATAATTTACCTATAACAAAAGAAATGTTGTTTGATGTATAAAATCAACAATATTATGTTCCACTCATGTTTATACAACAACAGAACGTGTCTAAAATATATAACAATACATAGAAAATAATTTACCTACAAGTTAGAGGAATGTTATTTGATTCAAAATATATAATATAGGTGTAGTATTATTTTTTTTTAAATAATTGGAACAAACTAATTTACCTACCAATTAATATGGGTAAAATTGCTACAAAATATATCATGAAAAAAAAAACTACTTTTCTAGTTTGACATGGAGACGGTTAATGCAAACACTTTTTACATTTTATTTCAATTTTTTCTACTACTTTTAATTTGGCACAAATTTAGGAATTTGGAAAATGGACCACACAGTATGAGTGGCATGAGTGTAAATAAATTGTATTAATAGGTCAATAGTGTTCCCATATATTTGCAAATTTTAAATTTGAGCTTAAACTGGATCTTTAAAGATAGATGGGTTTTTATCTAGAAATAATGAGTTGTAAGGGCCAAAATCTAAAGCACCTTATATTATGATATCTTGGCTCTTGTGTTGAGAATAATCTTAACTCCTACTCTTTTTTTTTAATACATCGATATTTTTACACTGAAGGAATGGGAAGTTCGGTTAAACCACACAATTGGTAGCCTAATTTGGTATCAAATTCACTATCCACGAGATTCGAACCTAAGACATCTCACTTTCAAGTGAAGAGGAATACCACCAGACCATAGTACTGAGTGTCAACTCCTCATTAAATTAAGTAGATTAGGATTTAATGTATACATTAAACATGTAGTAATTGCATGTATTCACATGAATTAACTTGGGTTCATGTATTAGTCTTAAGTTTGTCGAGTTAGCGATTATTATAGGAAAAGATTTTTTTTATGGATTAACTAAATTCAGGATAAATAACTTTCCTTCTAAATAATTGAGGATTCTTTATTAGGAGTACACAAAATAAGGAAAAACTTACTGATGAGAAGTTGGTGAAAGTCTACTCATCTGATTTTGACCATATGAAATCTGTAAAGTGTTAAGTCTACATAAGGATGGATGCGTCTTCATTTTGAATGAAAGAGCTGTGAAGCAGAATATTATGCCGCTACTTATGCTAGTCCAGAGGTTGTTTGGATAAACAAGTTCATCAATAAATTTAAATATGTTCCTACCATTAAACAACCAATGTCATTATAAGGAGGAACAATGAAACATTGTCTCAAGCCAAGGAACTACAGTTTCATAATGAACGAAAGATTTCTCAGTTCATGGAGCAACATATATGCATGCATTTAACAAATAAGCGGCGGAAATATACTTGTATGCACTAAAAAATAAAACTTAACCATGAAATTTCAAACCTAGTAGTGTGGTTAACCAAAGAACCTCTCTAATTCACATAAAGAGTTGAGATTTCTTTATACATTTGAATTCAAATCTCAACTCAAGGAGGCTTTGAAGGCCTCCACTCATCTCCTTGAGTTGCACTTTGTAGCCTTCATCTCCATCTTTTGCTTCTTGGATTCTTAGATTTGGATGCTTGAATGAATTCTCCAAAAGTTCCCAAGGTAGAGAACCTTCAAGTTTTGAAACAAAGGATGATTGAGGAAGAAGATGGTAGTATCTTCCTCTTCATGTGGCCGGCCTCCTAGAGAGAAGGAGAGAGCTTGTGCTTTCTCTACTTACCTCTTAGAAACCCTAATGAGGAATTGAGCTATAAAGTTTCTTATAAAATTTGACTTCACCTCAAAACCCTCACTAACTCACTACTTGATGCATAATCAAATATTACGTGCTCTTAGATATGAAATTTGACTTCACCTAAAAATCTCACTAACTCGCAGGGCTCAATAGTGTGTTGTTCGAGTTCATTGTATTAGCATCGATAGACATGAATGAACAACAACAAATCTATCACATTCTAGTAATTATTTAATGTAAGGAGATGTCCTTGGGAGCCACTGGAAGATCCATCTTTGAAGTCTCTATATAGTACTTGTTGATCAAGCTATGGTTTGTAAAAATTATTTTAACATGAGGTGCATCATGGTGATTAAAGATATTTCCATTTGATTTGACATTATTTCATATCACAAAAAATCTTGATTGGGAAATAAGCAATAGAAGAACCAAATATCTGTATCTAATTTTGGTAGTGTTTCCTTATTTTTGGCACAGGAGGCCGCTACGAAGGATTTGCTTTCCTTCGTTGGATCTAGTGCGTAGGTGGGCCACCAACCAAGTCAAGAATTGGGGAGGTTAAAATTAAATTGAAGTTCGACTTCTAACCAAATGATTGGACGACCAAGCAAAGAACTAGTTTTTTTGTCCAAATTTAATCACTAAATTGTTCCGATTACACCCACACAAAAAAAAAACAAAAACAAAAACAAAAAAAAACAAAACAAAACAAAAAGGACCAATTAAAATACTTCAGCACCAGTTGACTAAACCAAAAAACCTATCGAACCCGTAAACTCTTATGTGGAAGACAATATTTACCAATGCTCCAATTTTCTCTAATACTTTATCCGGTGCCATGAACAAATTGAAGGTTGATAACTTGCTATGGAACTCCCCTTTTCTTGTACTAGGATATTGCTGGACTCGGGACAGAAAGTTACTTCAAGGCAGTGATACCAAACACAAGATTTGAACCATGCCCTACATATATATTTTCTTTCCTTTTCTTTTCTTTTCGTTTCTTTTCTTTTCTTTTCTTGTCTGTATGATGTGAGGCAGGTACATGTTTGATATTGCCAATGGATTTCTTATCACGTCTTTTCCTTAATGTTTCATCTTCCTTATTAAGCTGTTATTTGCAAATACCTCTTACATACATTTCTAATGATCATGGAGTGTACTTTTAAACCCCTCCTATCAATTTTTTGTGATCCACTCTTTACAAACTCGACCTCAATTCCCAAGAACTTAAATCCTCACCCCCAACATAGCCTTAACTTCACTCTCGATCTAAATAAGCAACTTAACACTTGTTATTTATTTGTTTTTTTGAGTGATCCTCGCAATTCCAATTTCTCGTTCAGCCTCTACTCTAATTTGAAGAATGCTAGCAGTTTTCTCATTTGAACCTTCTTATTTTGTTTTTTAAATATCACCCTTTAAAGACTAAACTCTACTAAGAATCAACGAAATCCCAAAATCATTAATCATCTAAGTTAAATACTGAAGATTTTACAACGCTAAAAGTGAATAATTACAATCGTTGCGCAATAATGCAAAATGATCAAAAGACTGAGAAGCCATCCCACTTCTTATTCTGTCCGTTTACAGAAGGTTCCCAGCATTTTCAAAGCAATATTAAACCAAAAACAATACGACCGAGAGTCAGAGACCTAACATCGCCGTGATCCCACACGTGACACGTATTAATTTCTTCCCAAGTAATAGTAAAAATAAAATCCAACGAATATATAATAAATAAAAATCCAACAAAAAAAATAATAATGATTAGTAGAGCCAAAAGAAAAAAATTAAAAAAAAGGCAAACATAAAATATTGTAAGAAATGAGAGAGCATGAGGCGAGCGAGGGTGGTAGGTGTGAGATTTGACCAAACCCGCCCTCCACCTCCTCTCAAGTTCTCAACGGACTCGTCCCCCTCTCTCTCTCTCTCCCTCTCCATGTATAAATACCCATCGCCACCCTCCTTTCGTCTCAGCTTGACGTTCCCAAAGAGAACACCAAGCCTTCAGTTTCCCCCAAAACAAAATTTAAAAATATATAATATCAATTTCCATTTTTCTAAATTCCATCCGAGTCCCCAACACAATGCAGTCTCTTCTTCCGCCCTCACCAAACAATCTCACAAGCCCCGCACTCCGCCTCGCCCGCCTCGCCCCCACCCGGCTCCCCGTCTTCAAATGCGCCTACCGCTCCGACTCCGTCCACTTCCCCAACGGCGTCGGCTCCAGTCGCGCCGACTGGCAGAGCTCCTGCGCCATTCTTGCCAGCAACGTCGTCTCCCAGCAACCCCATACCCCCTCCGACAAATCCGGAACCGCTGACCATGTTGCCTCCGTCAACGGCCACAAGACCTCCGTTGACCTCGATATTGTCCCCATCGAAAAGCTCGAAGACGACAAGTCGATTTCCCCGCCTCCGCCTCCCAGGGCACTCACCATCACCGACTACTCTCCAGCTCCTATGCACGGCTCCCAGCTGCGCGTGGCCTACCAAGGCGTCCCCGGCGCGTACTCCGAAGCCGCCGCCGGCAAAGCCTACCCGAAATGCGAGGCCATCCCCTGTGACCAATTCGAAGTCGCCTTCCAGGCCGTCGAGCTCTGGATCGCCGATCGAGCAGTTTTGCCGGTCGAAAACTCCCTCGGCGGCTCAATTCACCGTAATTACGATCTCCTCCTCCGCCACCGCCTCCACATCGTTGGAGAAGTCCAGCTCCCGGTCCACCACTGCCTCTTAGCCCTCCCCGGAGTCCGAAAGGAGTACTTGAACCGAGTCATCTCGCATCCCCAAGCCTTAGCTCAATGCGAGCTGACTCTCACCAAACTCGGCCTCAACGTCGCCCGCGAGGCCGTCGACGATACCGCCGGCGCGGCCGAGTTCGTCGCGGCCAACAACCTTCGCGACACGGCAGCGATAGCCTCCGCGCGAGCCGCCGAGCTCTACGGCATGGAGATCTTGGAGAACGGGATCCAGGACGACTCGAGCAACGTGACCCGCTTCGTGATGCTGGCCCGGGAGCCGATCATCCCCCGTACGGACCGGCCGTTCAAGACGAGCATCGTCTTCGCGCACGACAAGGGGACGTCGGTGCTGTTCAAGGTCCTATCGGCGTTCGCCTTCCGGAACATCAGCCTGACGAAGATAGAGTCGCGGCCGCACCGGAACCGTCCGATCAGGCTGGTGAGCGATTCGAACGAGGGGACGGCGAAGCACTTCGAGTACCTGTTCTACGTGGACTTCGAGGCATCGATGGCGGAGGTCAGGGCACAGAACGCGCTGGCGGAGGTGCAGGAGTTCACGTCCTTCTTAAGGGTCCTGGGAAGCTACCCCATGGACATGACTTCTTGGAGTCCTTCCAGGGGGGGTGATTAGTGCAATTACCTGATTCCTTAGGCCCCGAAATAGTAAAATTATTACCACAAAGAACAAGGACTTGGGAGAAAATTTGATATTTTTCGATTTTCTCTCTCATTCGCTTACCTACCCTTTTTTATTATTATTATTTTTTTAATATTCGATGGATCTGAATCTGGATCGATGGGTGGGCCCATGCCATCACAAGCAAGTGAATACAATTTGGAATTTGGTGTTTGGGTAAATATATTTATTTATTTGTAGTTTTTGCATTTTTTCAGTCGACTTTTCTTATGTCACGTGTAAGAATGAACAATTAGAATTCTTTTTTTTTCTTTTCCTTTTTGTTAGTAATTTGGAGATTATTTTTCTTTTGTTTGCGGTGCCGTCTGTATTCGAAGATTACAGTTTGATTCGTAACGTTATTGTCAGTTGTTGAAAATTATTGTTATTTTGGCAAAATATGATATCCATTTTGTTATTAACTTAATTTTCATATTTTTTCGAAGATCAAAAACCCAAATGTCTTTTTCGACAATTAAGTATTTGTCATTTTATTTTTTAAGTAAAAGCAAGCAAGCATTCTCGTCCGTTTTCCAAAATTAAAAACATGCAAAATAAATGCACAATTTAGGTGAATGGATGAGAATGATTGGAGAGGCTCGTGCTTGGGGTTGTTGAAACACTTGTCAAGGCATGTTTTCACTAACCAAAACCGAGTGACACAAGTCTAAGTTTAGATTTGAAACTATTGCGATTAAGTCAAGTCTCCAAACTACATATAGAATAAACTCGGAGTTGGGGTTCATGCACTTACCTTTGTTCTTGCTTCTACCCCATTTTCACGGCTTCACCAACCAACCGATTGAGTTCCATCAACGTCACTTTCGCTCATTATTCTTACAAATGTGAAATTACCTTCTACTATAGAAAATTACTCTCGTTTTAAAGCAAAATTTCATTGTCAATTTTCGGTCCGCATGCGTGAAAATCGACAAATTTTGTGTAATTGAGATCATAAGCTAGTTTACATTAATAAATGGCTTTCAGTGGTTGATGCACGAAGAAAATGCTTAGCATATGCATATATATATATATATATATATATGAGGATTGGTCCCAAACTTTCGTTGCATATTAGATTTGGTCTCTAAACTGTTCATGAAGTAAACAAAATATGTACTATTGGTCCATCTGTGTGATTTCCCCTCAATTAGATTACGTGGCAAGACATAGGACCCACAATCGATTTATAAACTTTCACCCTAATTTAAATTTAATTGTTTCACCTTTGTTTAAATTTGGTCTATAAACACATACTTAGAATTGAATATATTAGACATTTTGTTAAATTTAAAAACCTCAATTAATGAAATTTTAGTTTACGGACAAATTATAAGCTATAATGAAAGTTCAGAGACCAATTATAAATTTTTCAAGTCCCTAGTTACAAAGTGCCATGTAAAGTGAATTTGAACCCAAAACAAATGTGTCAATAGTCTTATATCTTGAAAGGAAAGCTTGGTCTACCCTTAAATGATTGGATATATGACCAAAATTATATACAAGAGTGATTAAAGTAGAAGAATAAACAATGTTAAGATAGGATTACGTGGGTGATTTGGAATAAGATAGGATTACATGGGTGACTATATAAAGGGTGGTCTTATCATACACATTTTTTTATCTCTCACACATCTCCGGTTAATTTTTATTCTTTGATTTTTTTCTAATTCATTTAATTTGACGCTAAAAGTTGAAAACAGTGTTGAAGGTAAAAAATGGTATGTAAATATAGCACCATCCTATATATAAAGAATATTTATTTATTTTTTTTATTTTTTTTTTGAACAATCAATATAAGGTAAGCATTACAATGAGCTAGCAATAATGTGATTCATAGTCACTTTTAGCAAGAATCAAACATAATTTTCCAGGTAAAGATAAATAATATTAGACCATATTATTAAGTGACGAATATTATATATATATATATATATATATATATATATATATATGAGAGAGAGAGTTTGGTTGGATGAGCAGGGGCATGGTGGAGAAAATGGGTTGTGGTAGGTGGAGCAGTCTGCAATTTGTGTTTTGGTAGCTTTGCTTGCTAACAAGTGGTTGATAGCCACTTCACTTCGCTTTCACCCTGACGCCCTCCTCACGTTTCCGTGAAGAGATTTTTTAGTGTAACCGTCATACGAAATGATACATTATTTGTTTCTATAGAAATGATGAGTTATGTGTGTTAAAAGGTTAATAATTTAAAAATTAAAATTTTTCAATATTTGCATAAAAACACGTGATATACTATCCATATTCCCGTCACAACTAAAAATTTCTTTTTTCCCTAACGTTCATTGGTATTTCCTGACATGGAGTGGGCCATATTGGTCTTGGGCCCCATATTGCATCAATAATTTCTCAATAATTAGCTTTCTCTATTTAAACATATTGAGTATTTATTTAGGAAATTGAATAATATAATCACGCATACGTGAGATGTCTCGCTTAGTATGGCTAATTTTCTTGATTTGTATTTGGTCTCTACAAATTCCTAATAGTCATCTAAAAGTCATTGTCAAGTAGGAACGAGCTCCCCTTGACAAGGATTGCAAGGATTCTAGTCGGATTCTTTTTCTGGGGATCCAAAAGATTTTGTGATCATGAACGATTATTATGATTGAATCATTTTCCCTCAATGTCTAATTGCTCGTTTGGTGTTTTAGAGTAGATTGAATTAAGTAATTTATTATGAGAGCTGTTAAACTCATCTCGTTGTCTTATTTCTTCACTCGCATTATAATCTCACCTACCATTTTGAAAAGTTAAATAATTAAAATGATATTTCCACACTCATTATTATTCTCAAGATAACCTTTACTATATATACATATGAAGTTATAAAATTCTCTGAAAAAAAAAATATATATATATATATATAAACATGTAAAAAAATAAAACTAAAACTAAAATTAAGAAAGAAAAGCGAGCAAGAATCAGAGGGAAGAGAAGACGGAGATGAGAGTGTCAAAGGAGCAAGTGAAGTATGCGAATTCAAATGAAAAGTTTGGTGACAAAAATATGTGCTAATACTAATCGTAATACAGTAGGCAAAATCAAATATAAATTCAAAACCACAAGGTAATCAAATTCAGATGGAAAACCACATAGGTATCCAAATTCATAGATAAACTTTTTTTTTTTTTTACAACAACAAATTCAAATGACCCACACACAAAATTATTCTTCTACCTCTTCAATGGAAACATAATTTTCTATCTCTTCCATAAAAGCGTCACCTTCTACATCTTCAATAAAAAGAGTCATCTTCTAAAGTCCTTTTTTTTTTCTTTTTTAGCTTTCTCTTAATGAAAGGAGATGAAAAGATGAGTTAGGATTCGTCTTTAGACAACTATTCTAAAGATTCTCGCCTAACGCCGCCTAGGCGGTTGGTCACCGTCCTGATTAATGCCTAGGCGTTTGAAAATTAAGAAATGGCATCTAGACCTGCTGAGACTCCCGGCCAAACCCGCCTAGACACCTGTCTAGGTTGCAACTCAAATAGAAAATATATAACTTTCCTTTTATTGTTTCCAATAAATTGTAAGAGATTTATTGAACACTTAAATAAACACACATTACATGTTTGCTCCCCATGTTTTCATTATGTTCCAATACTTCATGATATATATGTCATTCTATTGTCTAATTTATGATGAAATTATATATATTTTAAGTATAAACAAACATTTATTTACACGAAAATACAATAGATTTGGTTAAATCCACCTAGCCGCTTAGGCGCTAAGCCCCAACCCGCCGGCCGACTAGCACCTAGCGTCAAAGGAGCAAGTGACGTCTTCACTAACGTCAAAACTAAAACCTACAAATCTCAAAGTAATCGATACATTTGGAGGATGTGGTGCTATAGCTTTGCTATTGAGATAGTATTAGAACAATCTGAAGGAAAAAACATCATGAGTATCAGGTATCTAAACCTGCCGCTTGAACATCCATCATTTCAAAGGTTTCAAGAACACAAGTATGCGAATTCAAATGAAAAGTTTGGTGGCAAAAATATGTGCTAATACTAACCATAATATAGTAGGCAAAATCAAATATAAATTCAAAGCCACCAATGTATGCAAATTCAAATGGAAAACCACATAGGTATCCAAATTCATGGATAAACTTCTGACAACAATAAATTCAAATGACCTCCACACAAAATTATTCTTCAACCTCTTCAATGGAAACATAATTTTCTATCTCTTCCATAGAAGCGTCACCTTCTACCTCTTCAATAAAAAAAAGTCATCTTCTAAGTCCATTTTTTTTTCTTTTTTTTTAGCTTTCTCTGAATGGAAGGAGATGAAAAAATGAGTTAGGATTCGTCTTTAGACCACTATTCTAAAAATCCCCACCTAGCACCGCTTAGGCGGCTTGCCACCGCCCCCTATTAATACCTAGGCATTTGAAAATTAAGAAAGCCCGCCTAAACTCACATAGACACCTGTCTAGGTTGCAACTCACTTAGATAGAAAATATATAGCTTTCTTTTTGCATTTTATTGTTTCCAATAAATTGTAAGAGACTTATTGAACACTTAAATAAAGCATCCCATGTTTTCATTATGTTCCAATACTTCATAATATATATGTCATTCTATTTTCTAGTTTATGATGAAATTATATATATTTTAAGTATAAACAGACATTTATTTACACGAAAATAAAATAGATTTATTTAAATCCATCTAGCCGCCTAGGCGCTAGGCCCCAGCTTGCCGCTCGACTGTCACCTAGCGTCGAAGGAGCAAGTGAAGTCTTCACTGACGTCAAAACAAAACCCTGCAAATCTCAAGGTAACCGATGCATCTGGAGGATGTGGTGCTATAGCTTTGCTATTGAGATAGTATTAGAGCAATCTGAAGGAAAAAACATCATGAGTATCAGGTATCTAAACCTGCTGCTTGAACATCCATCATTTCAAAGGTTTCAAGAACACAAGTATGTGAATTCAAATGAAAATTTTGGTGGCAAAAATATGTGCTAATATTAATTGTAATATAGTAGGCAAAATCAAATATAAATTCAAAGCCACCAAGGTATGCAAATTCAAATGGAAAACCACATAGGTATCCAAATTCATGGATAAACTTCGACAACAATAAATTCAAATAACCCACACACAAAATTATTCTTCTACATCTTCCATGGAAACATAATTTTCTACCTCTTCCATAGAAGCGTCACCTTCTACCTCTTCAATAAAAAAAAAAGTCATCTTCTAAGTCCTTTTTTTTTTCTTTTTTAGCTTTCTCTAAATGAAAGGAGATGAAAAGATGAGTTAGGATTCGTCTTTATACCACTATTTTAAAAATCTCCGCCTAGCGCCGCATAGGCGGCTAGCCACTGTCCCGATTAATGCCTA